CCGCCGGGCGCGGTCGCCCCCCCCAAAATCAGCGGAGGAGGCGCTGCACCCCCGGACCCCAACGGGCCCGGGCCTGGGGGCGCCATGGGTGAGAGACCGCTGTAGGACATGGCCATGGGACTGGGCTGCATCATCCCCAGGCCCATCCCAGGAGCCCCCATACCCACCCCCACTGACCCCACTGACCCCACTGACCCCACTGACCCCACTGACCCCACTGACCCCACTGACCCCACTGACCCCACTGACCCCACTGACCCCACTGACCCCACTGACCCCACTGACCCCACTGACCCCACTGACCCCACTGACCCCACTGACCCCACTGACCCCACTGACCCCACTGACCCCACTGACCCCAGGCCCATTCCTGGCTGCACCATGCCCAGCATGGGGTTGGGGGGCACGGGACTCGTGCGCAGGCTGCTCAGGCAGAGAGAGGAGGGCTGAGGTGAGATGGAGGTCATGGGCGGGGCCACTCCAAACGGGTTGGTGGAGGCGGGCGTGGGGGAGACCCCTCGACTGGAGATGCTGCTGCCTGGAGTCACTGCCACAGCAGGAGCCGGAGAGGAGCCTGGAGATCAGAGACACGGTCAGACCAGGACAGGAGCACACATGGTCCGAGCACTAAAGCCAGGTGTCTGAGTGAGCCACGCTGACCCCTGGGGGTCACAGTGTCAAACTACACCTGCAGCTCAGATACTGCAGTACATGTCCACTGTGGTGTACTAGCAAAGTTAGGGAGTTTTAACAGTTATGTCTTCGAGGGCTTCTTTTCATGATGTCAGTAGGTGGCGCTGTGGAAACTGTGTTTCAGTTGTTCACAATCAGCCAAACACAGTAGTACTTCACTGTTAGTACTCAGATAGTACACACCTGTGTTCTGGAGGAAAGGGTTGTGTCCTGAAGAAGAAGAGAGCGAAGGGGGCGGAGCCTGTTTGGGTCTGGGTTTAGACGACACCAAGGAGTCCAGGTCCACCAGGGCCGCGTTTGGACCGAGGAAGGACTCTGGTGTTTTTCTAACAGGAAGGGACGAGCCCAGAGACGACAGGTCAAAGGGCACCGGGGAAGCTGTGCCGTCGCAGCCCGTCACCAACGACCCTCGTCTCTCTGGGTCTCCTGGGGACACGAAGGAGGAGACACAGGTTTGTCAAGAGTTCTGTGGACATTCACTGTGGGTGTGGACCATGAAAACACACTGTGTGTGTGTGTGTGTGTGTGTGTGTGTGTGTGTGTGTGTGTGTGTGTGTGTGTGTGTGTGTACCTGTTCCATTCGTTTGTTTGCTGCTGCCACTCCAGATGTCAGAGGACACAGTGTCAGAGGACGGGACAGGGCCGTCTCTGGCCCAGGGGTCTACTGGCCCCCCTGAGGAAGAAGTACTGGGAGGAACGGGGGGGCCCCAGGGGTCAGCAGCAGGGGAGGTCACAGCTACACAGGAGGGGGGGGAGACGCAGGTTAACGTGGTCCCTTCACAGGTGGATTTTCAAATCAGGATTCAACACACACACACACACACACACACACGCACACACGCACCCGCACCCAACCCCCCACCCCACCCTCCCCCCGCATGTGGAGAGCCAATCGCTGAGCAGCGTCAGTACCTGAGCTTCCCCAGGGGTCCACGTTGTTAACTTTGTTGGACGTGTCCCCCCATGGGTCAGGAGGAGGAGGGGGAGGAGCTATAGAAGGCGGGGCTCCTCCACCCCAGGGGTCCGAGCTGGTGGGGGACGTCGGTGACGCCACGCTCCACGGATCTGAAGGCGCTGCCCCCCACGGACCAGAGGCGGCGGGGACAGGAAGTGTAGGTGGGGGCGAGGGCCCTGCGGAGCCCAGAGCGGGGGCGGCAGGTGGCCCCCAGGGGTCCACGGCCCCCAGCTCCATCAGAGCGCCCTGAGGAGAAGAAATGGAAACCCGTGGGTTAGGGGTTCAAATCCCCAGAGCGGTGTAGCGTCTTCAGGTCAAAGACAGCTGACTGATCCTCCTCAGATGTCCACTGTGGACACCACCGCCCTCAGACTTTTTACCTCTTCTGCTTTGGACTTCTTCTCCCTTTTACTCTCTTCGATGGCCATCTGCAGCCTCAGGTCGTCGCCTCGCCGCAGTCGCTCCTCCTGTCAATCACACACGGGTCGTCAGCGGGCGTTCATGACAACCTCAGGTTTGATTTGACACCAGGATTATCACCAGTCTGAATCATGGAGAACCGTGACACCATCAGGTCAGAGAATCAGGGGTCACAGAAGTCTCCCAACCTGATTGGCTGTTTGATCTTATGGTCATTTCATTTTATTATTTAGTTTTTATTTAGTTTGTTGAAAGATTCATCATTTCATCTGATCAATGACAGGATAGAATCAGGACGAATCGAGTCGAACACAGAGGGTTAATGAGCGGCTGACCGGTGGGCTGGACACGCCCCCTGACCCTGACCTGCTGCTGCACCTCTCTGCTCAGTGTGATTGCGTAGCGGTACTCTGCGTCCTCCAGGGGGTCCTTTCTATTCTGGGGGAGGTCGGGGGGAGGGGGGTTAATCTACGTGTGTGTGTGTGTGTGTGTGTGTGTGTGAACAGTTGGAGACCCCTACCTGCTCGGCCTCTTCTTTACTCATGGCCAGAGCCAACTGCAGCTGCAGGTCTTCTTCTCCAGAGCTCTGAGGCCAGGCCTGCTCAGGGTCTGCTCCTCCTGAGTGGGAGCCCACAGACAGGCTGCCGCCCAGGCTGGGGGCTGACGGAGCCGAGGAGGCTGGAGGAAGGAGAAGAAAAAAAAACAACAAAAAAAACAACACGGACGTAGACTTAAAGGGCTTCTGAAACTGACTGAAACTGTGTGAGGAGCAGAACATCTCACCACTGGAGGTCTGTGCCATCTTCTCTTTGGTTTTGAGGGCGTGGATCCTCTCCTCTCTGAGCCGCTCCTCGTCCTTCAACAGTGTCACCAGCTGCTTGGCCTTCTCTCTCACGTTGACTCCCTGGACAAATGAGGGACAAGGACAAGCCTAACATGAGGACTGACTGACTGTGTCTGTTGATGTCTGTCTGTTGATGTGGAGGTCAGTTTCACACACCATAAAAACTGTAGTTGCCTTTGTTTGCACTAGAGGTCAGAAAACCTTGTCAAATGTGTTTGAATGTTTGTCCAAAGCCGTCAGAACAACAGCGACCTCTGTGGACCGTGTGCGGCACTGCAGGCTGGGCCGCGCCGACTTACCTGGTCTTTCCCGTCCCTGTCTATGTACTGGAAATCCTTGAGGGTTTGGACCGCGTAAATGTTTTCTCTGCACTGTTGAGCCACACGTTCTGAACCGGTCTTGATTAAATACTCCATCAGAGTCATGGCCTGAGGAAGAAGAGGAAGAAGAGGAAGAAGAGGAAGAAGAAGAGGTCACAGTGAGTCACTGAGGTGGAACACCACAGAAGAAGAAGAAGATCAGGGCTGTGATTGGACAAAAACAAAGGTCCGCTACTGCATGACTGTAGTACTCCACTACTGCACGACTGTAGCACTCCACTACTGCACGACTGTAGCACTCCACTACTGCACGACTGTAGTACTCCACTACTGCACGACTGTTGTACTCCACTACTGCATGACTGCAGTACTCCACTACTGCATGACTGTAGTCCTCCGCTACTGCATGACTGTAGAACTCCACTACTGCACGACTGTAGTTGCAGTACTCCACTACTCCATGACTGCAGTACTCCACTACTCCATGACTGCAGTACTCCACTACTCCATGACTGCAGTACTCCACTACTCCATGACTGCAGTACTCCACTACTCCATGACTGCAGTACTCCACTACTCCATGACTGCAGTACTCCACTACTCCATGACTGCAGTACTCCACTACTCCATGACTGCAGTACTCCACTACTCCATGACTGCAGTACTCCACTACTCCATGACTGCAGTACTCCACTACTCCATGACTGCAGTACTCCACTACTCCATGACTGCAGTACTCCACTACTCCATGACTGCAGTACTCCACTACTCCATGACTGCAGTACTCCAGTACTCCATGACTGCAGTACTCCACTACTGGTGGCTCAGTAACCACAGGGACTAAATGGATGCAGTTTAAACACAGACCATGTGAACGACCAGGTGACACACACACACACACACCTTGTACACGTGTCTCCAGTTCTTCCCGTGGTCGTTCAGACGTTTCCAGACCATGCTCATGATTTCTGAGAAAGCCACAACATTGTAGGTGAGGTCAGCGATCTCTGACATCAGGGAGCTGCTGGGCCCCCAGGGGTCATTGGACGTGGCCTCTCTCACCTGGAAATGCCACAACAGGGACAGAGTTTAATCATCTCCCATCAACGTCCTGGGAACAGAGTCAAGGCAGACAAGGTGGGACTGATGAAACGTGCTGCGTCCATGGAAGGTCAGGTGACCAGCGTCTACATGATGTCATTGGTGCTGCAGAGGATGTAGGTGTGGAAGAGAGAGGAATAAACCAGATTAGCGCTCAGGGACACTCGACCTTGATTTCAGCCTCTGAATAGTTATGGACGATGTTCTTCACTTGTCGCCGTAGCGATGAGGTCGACATGGCAACAGTCCGACTGCTGAGATCTGCTGAAATCTTGACAGATAAGAAAAATGGCAGTAAATTACAGGCAATGGAAAACATTTGGTGTGAGTGAGATCAGAGGGAGGCGCACACCTGTTATACCAGGAGGGTCCAGTAGGGGGCTGTCCTCAGTCTTTTGGTTTCCTTGTCTTGTGCACCACTCATTCAGGGAGTGCTTTGTCTCAGTCTGTCTGGTTCCTTATGAGGCAACATTGGGTCTCCAAACCACGGGGCCAGGGAGACCAGGGAGACCAGGGAGACCAGG